ATCTAGAGGAGACAACTTTTTTATGCAAGAAGCTACTGTGTATAAAAATAAATGTGTCTCTACCTTAGTGGGACTTCTGACACTGCCCAGGGTCTCATAGGTGGGCAGTATGAGGTGTAAGCAGGTCTCCAGATGATCACCAGTCTTTGTGGATCTGTTGTTGGACTTGATGATTTTCATGTGAGAGAAAGCAGACTGCAGAACTCTCCATCCATGCGACTTGTAGCTCTGGATTTGATCCCAATGTCATTTTGCAGAGTCAAAACCTCATTTTTAACTCCAGAGCAGTCCAGCAGAAACACGGACACGAATTTAGACACATCCATTCATCCTGGTGGACAATTGAACGATACGATCTCACTTATTTTTAAAATAATGAAAAAGTGCATCTGCAGCCTCAGTAAACGCTTCTTTCATGATCTTCATCGCTGAAAGACTTCTTATGTTGAGACAGAATGCGGCTAGCACGGTATGAGGCTATTGTAGCAGCCTTACCTTTTGTGCTGGGCAAAATGCGGGGAAAAAAAAAGTACGCGGCTGGCTCGATGTTGTTTATCCTGAAACTGGTCCTGGTTTAAGCTCCAAAAAATTTTGTCAGTCAGATTCGACCGTGAAAAATGTCTGTTTTTTATCCCCATTTATGAGTTTTTGGACGTTTGACTATCTTTAAAAATCGCTGCTTCCTGGTACAGCAAGCAGTCGGCTCTGGAAGCGATCGCTTTTTTTTTGAAGCGAGTTGTTGAAGCAAATGCAGCGTCTGCTATCAGCACAATCAAAAACACTCCCATGAACTAGGGAAATCCATCTCATACCGTTTGTGCATCGACTTGAAATGTCGCTCCAAGTTACAGTTTTTGGGTAAGGCAACGCTCGAATTACATAGGTTTCGAATTAGAATAAACACAAAAATACTCCTCCTCCCACTCTGTGTGAAAATAAGTTTTCATTTGCTTGTTTGCTAGTTTTCCATCCATGTTTTCTCTGCATCGACAACTCCACCACTGAACCTAAAGTCTCGTCTGAGCGCCATATCACCACACCCAAAACTCGCAAGAAAACTGTGAAAATGCAAGAGGGGGAGGGCGTAGGGAGCGCGTTGCTGCGCGTTGGAATGTGTTACTTAAAGAGTAACTTACCCCCAAATTAACTTTTTTTAGCTGATAAACTGTCTAGAATGTGTCTAAAATGTTATATAGTACTGTTT